AGCCAGGGGTGCATCTACTTTATATGCTGTGAAGCGTCCTGAGCCTACCAGATTTCCAGTAGGAAATTCACAGTGTCATCAATAGCATTAACTACCCTCCTGTGCCTTAGACCTATTTTTCCCCCACCAAAAATGGGTAGGACACAGCCGTAGGTGGGAGAGCCCATGACAACCTGTCATCTCAACATCTGAGGATACCCTGGGATTGCTAAAGTGACATTGGATTTCAGTAGTTGCAGTTCTGTGACACAGGATCACAGCTTGGTTTTCCTGCAGGGTTCCACCCATAGCTGGGCTAAGAAACCACAGCTTGTGCCAGGGGAGAGCAGAAACTAACTCTGAAAGGTTCATGTAGATCATGTTCCAGTACTTGGGTCAGCAAAGAACTAAAATCATATGACTACATCTAGGAATATTGGGACAGCTATTTTCTAAACTTCAGTCCCTTTTTCTAGCCAAGCAGAATTCCAAAAAAAATTTTAAGAATCAGGAAACAAAACCAAAAATTGCATCTGAGTTTTCACCATCACAAATTATGATCTAAATGATTTGTAACAGACTGAACAGATACAAGACTATTACAGTATGCAAATGTAATTTGTCAATAAAATTTAGTTTTAATTAGAAAAGCTAATGAAAGTAGTTTTAAGTTATCTAATCTATGGAATCATTAAAATTTCTTATCATGTACTGTGTAATATTGGATAATAAACCAGATAAAGCGCTTTAAAACACGTTTAGATTCATATTGTCATTTGCTCTGTGCCAGGAAGGGAACAACCAGCAGTGATGTATCAGCAGGCTAGTGGATCTCAGTGCCTAGTACAATCAGGCTTGGTGTAATAGATATAATAGGGATAAAGCAGGAGTGTGAATTCCTAAACATCTGTAGGCTGAGCTTATGGTACACAACAGGGGACTCTTTGCCTATCTCCCCACAAGCAGCCTGTTTGCTACCTTTCCATGCCCCTCTATATCAAGAACTCCCCGTAAATCCTCCAGTTCCTCCCTCATGCATGGAGCTCTGTGTGCCTTTCATTTTCTTCTGTGACAGAGGCCATTTGTACCCCCACCCCCCTCCATTACACGTCCAGGTGTGTCTGTCCCTATGTTCCCCTCCCCAGCTCACTCTTTCTGCAGCATCCACCTCCTGGGCAGGGACCTTGTGTGTCCCAGTTCTACCTTTCCCCTTACCAGAGTCCCACAATATCTTTACCACCAGAGATTCAATATGCCTCTATTAATCCTGTCTTGTACCAATGTCTCCTTTTCCAACCCCTGTCAGGTTCTGTATTCCCCCATTTTCTCCTTCCCCATTCCCTTCATACTAGGTCATCCCACTTGCCCTCACATGCCAGGCACTGTTTTATTGTCACTGTTCCCCTATTCCACCTTTCCTCCCAACTATTATCATTTGTCATCTTTCCTTCTGGAAGATAAATCATTCATGGTGTAAGCATACTAAGCTATATGGGGAGCATGAGTAGAAATGAACTGGGGTGTTGTGCTGTGTAAGTGCCATACAATGACAATAGACAATGACAGAAGTGCTCAAAGCTATGATTCTGCTAAATAGAAAAAAAGGCTACATGCCCTGTGCCTATCCTCTTACAGTGTTCTGACTTGCTCCAGAATCAACAGGATTCTGCCTGTTGCTGCCAGAACATTTTTTACTGGAATTGTTGTTAAAAAAATAATTTTATCATGATAAATCAAGAGACAGACAATGACAAAATAGAAATGTCATCAAGCTGAACATAGAGCTTTTCTAGCTTGGACAATAAGCAGTAGCCCACAAATCCCTCATTAATTTAAAGTTAGGTAAGATGATGGCTTTATCTGTGTAGAAGCATATGAAGTTCTATGAAGTTCTGAAAAAAAAAAAAGGGAATTTACATCCTAAAGATAGATAAGGGGCAAAAAATGTATTCTAATATCTTGAGAATACAGGAAATAATACAAATACCTCCCTCAATCTTGGGGAGAAATCACAAGGGATAATTTTTTGTCTCAAGAATTTATATTGCCAGCATGCATCCATGCATATCACATTTTGAACAAGATTGACTTATGAATGTAAATATAGTGAACACATTAAAAAAAAAAAGCTAGCAATAGAGACATATAAACTCTGATGAATGCCCATATCCCAGATTTTTTTTATTCCTTTCATGAGTACTAATTCATAAACCATGTACACTTTTATAGTGCCTGCTGGGAGTTTCCTTTGATTAAATAATATTTCAGTCCACCACTGGGATTCACTAGAACAGATACATGCAGAGACTCATTGACTTCCCAGACTTGTTTTAGGGTTGGATCAGATCCTTATTCGTCACTCAGAAAAAAACTCCCTTCAGACACCACAAAATAATAAAAAAGGACAAAACAGAAGTATTTAGCCCAGAGCATATATTTCATTTATTTATTCATTTATTTATGTGGTGTGAATATTTCTGTTTATACAAATAAACTACGTCTGCGTGATGGTATGAAAAAGAATGAATCCGCCTTGTATATTACTGAGTTCTGTCACATACATGTTCCATAACATTCTTGACCACTTCAGTGCAATGGATTGGATTTTGCATTCAAGCTTTTAGTTGTCCTGAAGACATTCACCTCATAAATCATATCAATGTCTTGTATTTTGGAAAAGGTCAAGAAATATAAATACCATGCATTCAACTACAACATGATTCATGGTGAAACACTAGCTTTTAAAATATGTTTTTGATTCTTCTGTGTTTAAAAAGGTCTTAACTTGTGAGCACATGTTAATCTTTTTAGTGAGAATACTTAGAATTTGTAGCATTTTGAAGTACCGTCTTTATTTTTGGTACCGGGCCCTGGCTGGGGTCAACTGTAAGGCAAATAAAACATAAACAATTTAATAATTTTCATTATTAAAATTTTACGTTCACAGTAAATTTTAGTTATCTGAAAACTGACAGAGAAATAGTAATGTTCATTTCAGCACTGGTAACAGGAAAACTGTAAGATTGAGATCTTTGTTTTGCTGGCATATCTGAGTCTGCAGATAAGAAAATAAGATGAAGGACTAGAACTTGTGGACTAATTCTCTACCAAAAGTAAACATAATTCAGACTGGGCACGTCTACACAAGATGCTACGGTGACATAGGGTCGGCGGGCAAAAACCACGACACCGCAGCTTTGTCACCATAGTGGTGTGCTCTCACTATAAGACAAATAACTTTGTGCTGCTGGCATGGCACGGTAACACCTGTTACTGTGCCATCATTTAGGACTCCTATTCCTTCTTTGAATAGGAGTAGGAGCACTATTTTTGGGTTAGTAAATGGTAGGTTGCATAACAACAACTAAAAGAGTCAGTTGAAACAGGTATCCTTCCTTTCTTTCTTCATTTTATTTCATGCTTAACATTATCTATTTCAGTACTTTTAGTCAAGATGATTTGTTAAAATTATGGAATGACTGAAATTGATGGAGAAATACTTATCAGAACTTTCCAACATGTTAAGATTTCCTTTGGTTGATAAATCATTTTCAGATCAACTGTTATTTTTCAGTATGTGCTAGACTCTACTTGTGCACTAAGTTCTTCAAGTATATTTTAGTCTTATTGAATAAAAGTATTGTAACTGATTATGTAAGCTGAGGAACATTTTTATTAGTGTAGTAAAACCACAAAACTGACATTTTGATTTCTCCATAATTCAAAATTATATAAACCCAGAATTTAGTTCAAGTAAATGTAGGGGTAGAGGCTGGCTACAAATTTTGGGCCAGAACTTCCCCAAAATTTGAAAATGTTCAGGTCCAGGGCTTTGGTTTAAGTTTTATTATGTATTAAACTGAAATCTCCTGCCCTTAAAAATCATTTCCTTGAAATTCAATCCTAAATACCTTTTAATATTGATGTTTATCAATCATTTTTCTTCTCTCAGGAGGTAATGCTTTCATCTTCATTTTAATGAATATGTTAAAATGATTATATGTGTGTGACTGTAGTGCTTATCTGTTATTCCAAAATGAATGTGATCACTCTTCAGTTCCTGTTAAACAAATCCCTCTTGAAAGTATAGCCCTTTTTAAATGCAGTTATAAATAAACAGCATATTTATTGAAAAAAGCAGTAGTCAATGATTGCATGTAGATGTGTGAGGAGTGTATGCGAGTGTCTGCAACATTTGTACCCAAATGTTCATAGTGCTGATGGTTCCAATAAAATGATGGTTCAGTTGTGAGTGAGTGAACACTGAAAGTGTATGATTTTAACTGAGCTCTCTGGGGTAGCCAGTATAGGATTAAATATTTGTTGTAAATACAGTAAATGACAGTACGGAACTGTTGTTATATGTTTTTTTCCTTTTAATAAAAAAAATACCAAAATCTTCAGTCTGAATGTCTGTTAGGCTCCTAGTTCATGTAAGTTAGTATGGTTAAATGTAGATATAGGAGTCATTTTAGTCACCTAGCTTGAAATTTTACTCATGTTTCTAGGTTAATGTACATTATGTTGGGCTGAGATTGAGTGATCCTGGAACTAAATAGCAATCAGATAGGTGGTCTGTGATATCATACTGTCCCTGCTACAATATACATATGGGCTGTTTGCTGGCTATCAGTTGTAACTGAATATTATTCTGTAATGTTATACAATTTTCCTGTATAGGGTGAACCAGGTCTCCCTGGGCTTCCTGGACTCCCTGGGATAAAGGTAAATAAATCATAGTCTCTGTACAGTTGTGTTATGTGGAGGAGAGGATGAAGAGTGGGGAAAAGGAACTAAGAATGTGGATGGGTTGGGGAAAGTGTGTTTAAATCTTCTCAGACTCTTTTGATCTTAAAATGGATTGAATTGTCATGTGAAGGCTTCACACAGAAAATTGATCATTCATACCTGAATGAACAAATAATATGTCTTACACTTTAACATGCAATGAAATGTCACCTTGCTTTGGAAAAACTAACCCTACTTTAAACCCTACTTTAAAAAAATAATTTCTTCATTACAGTTTTATATAAAGCAAAATGCTGGTCATCAACATTTTGTTCTGTTTGCAGTTTAAAGAGGACATGCCAATAACATACAGAAGCTGCTAAGCCTACAGCCAGAAAACTGTCTTCATTATTCACAAGTTGTGGAGAACCAGCTCTATTTATGAGCAAAGATAATCTGTACTCCCACTGCATAGCTGACAAGACAAAATATTTCAATAAGCTGTTACCCAATATTAGCATTACGCAATCTGGTAGCTAAACCGGTTTTTGTTCCGTATTCCCAGCATGTTTGCTGTCTTTAGGCAACCTGTCTGTCTTAAAAGAAATGCGGGCAACTTAGTCCTAATGTAAGCAGTTGCATTAGGAGCTAAAGTTACTTAAGCTGGAAGCTCAATGTAATCTATACTCTATTATACAGGAAATACAAGCAGATTTAAATCTTATGAAGGATCTCTGACTTTCTGTAAAAGATTATTTTTTCAAACAGCAAGTACACTTCCTCAATCTTTTTCTTGTATTCCAGCACACTCCATGAATATCCAATATGGAGGTGTTTTCTACCTACTAAGTGTGGAGTGTGCAGTCTTAGTTCCATTGAAATCAATAGCAAAACTCCTGCTGTCATTTTGTAGACTCGGAACTTCCTCCATGATGTACAAGTTTTGCAGCAACTATCTCAAAAATACTTGTCAAATGCAGCAGTGTTTTTAATTTAGCGGCAATGTTGTGTTTGTCGAACTAATTGAACACATAAAAGAATGTGCTTGCTTTAAAAGTGTGTGTTTTTATACTGTAAAATGTAATATCTGGAGATACAAATAATGTTAAGACCTATCTATTTAGTAAGAATGAAACATATGTTAGTTGTGCTAAGAACAATCTTCTTGTAACTGGATGGTTACACTGAAGTGTGTTTGTGGGATTTCAACATAGATGAAAAAACAATTTTAGCAATGATTTCTTTCTACTTTGGAAAGTAGGTATAAATATAATATATGTTGTGCAGTGTTCCTCATCATATCACTGAATTGGAGGTCCAAGCAAATTAAGAATAACTATAAGAGCTGGCTTTTTGGTACACAAAATGCCTATTTTGTTATTATTTTGATGAGGTTTGTAGAGGGGTCCATTGAGTTACTTTGGAAAGAATAGTCAGTCAACTACAGCCCTTAAGATCAGTTAGTAGAAAGGTTTCAGCTTAATAATTCAGGGATGTAAGTTGTAGCTGTGTTGGTCTAAGGACATAGGCAGTAGGGCTATGCGAAATGGGCCTTATTCAGTTCAGGTTCAGATTCGGCCTAAATCGGTGACAGTGATTCAATCTGTTGATTCAGATCACTATCCCTGATTCAATATGGCCGAATCCAAATCTGCAAATTCAATGCTGATTTGGCGAATCAGTGAATCAGACACAACTTTAAAAGTTTTTTCCTACATACCTTGAGGTAGCAGCACAACTCATGATCACTGTGGTACTGGGGCACATGGGGCGTCCCACAGGAGCATGGGGGGGTTTTCCAGTGTGCTCAAAAGCGAACCCGGAAGTGGACCAGAAATACTTCCACATCTGGGTCTGCTGGGGAGCATGCTGGCCCCCCTGCCCCCCGTACCCCCCTGACTCAGTGATCAGCCACAGGCAGACCCTGGGTGCCCCCCCAAACCCAGGACGCACCAGTTGCTGAGCGGAGGGGGGCAGAGGGGGAAGGGAACCCTGCGCTCTCCGTGGTGGACCAAGAAGTAGACTGGAAGTGCTTCTGGTCCACTTCCAGGTCTGCTGCCGAGCATGCTAAGGAGGCCCGTGCTTCTGTGGGGCTCTGCATCTGCCCCAGCACTGCAGCATTCAGAGCCCCTGCTACCTAGAGGTATGTGGAAAAAACATTTAAAGCTGTGTCTATGTCCGAATCGCCAAATCTGTCTGAATCAATTCAGAGGTCATTGAATCGATTCAGAGAGATTAACCCTTTAATTTCCATTTGGATTTGGAGCTTTGGCCACCAAATCAGGCCAAATCTCTGCTGAATCAAATCAGGGACCAAAGCTTTGCACAGCCCTAATAGGCAGACAAGGTTCTTTGGGTGAATCTGATTAGACCAACTTAAATAGTTGGAAAAAAAAATGTTTAGCAAGTTTTCGGGTTTAAAAACCCTTCGTTTTTTTCAACTATTTAAGTTGGTCTAATAAAAGATATCAGATTCACCCAAAGAACTTTGTCAACTTAATAATCCTGCATTGTTAGATTAATTGTTTAAAGTGGTGATTTAGTATACATTCCAGGTAGCTAATGAGAGTTTAGTATAACATGATCTCAGGATCTGAATAGAGACATATAAATACTTTGTTTGAATTCAGAAAATGCTTCAAGGCATTAATTATACTTTGAGGCTCATTCACCACATGCATGCAGATGTTTCTCTTCTTTTTCATTCCACATATCAGTTGGTGCCACTGGCTGCCACTAATGCAGTCAGTAATTTTCCAAGGCAGAGCTATCTGTGACATATTATAGAAAGACAGTTTTCTTGACCACCTGTTGCTGTTTGAGAATGGTTGGAAACTTAATACACTTCTGACTCTGTTCCACACTGTCATTCAGAAAATGAGTAAGGCACCTAAACACAGAATGTTGACTCATCTTTGTATCATCCCATGCTACCCCTTAGAAACACTCTATGGGATACAGAATATTTTCAGGAAGACAAAAAGAAGTACCATAGTTCAATAGGTCATATAAGAAATGTATGGATTGAAATCAAAGATATTTGTAATTTTATTCATTCATAATGTGTACAACTTCTCTCAAAATGTTCTGTTAGCCATGTTAATTTATATCGTCTTTTATCAATACAGTCATTGACTTGAATGCTATATTTATTTTAGCTGATCTTCATTTATGATCTCTTTACAAATCTTTCTCTCTTTCTGAATCCAAGATGTTGTTCCTTGCTTGTATTCCCTGTTCTCATTTTCTTTGGGCCTGATCTTTTCAGTCTTTGCTCTGCCTTTTGGCATCTTGTAGCAAAAGGGGAAGATATCAACAAAATCCAAAGTAAAAAAAAATCTGCCCCTTCAGTCTTCCTGTCCAAGTACAGACAGTCAAAAAAAAAAACGAGGTTAAATTGATTCAGTCTTTGCAGAGTAGTTTAAGCTGCAGAGATTAAATTGAAACAGAACTGAACAGACATTTACCTTTCATTCGGAAAATGCAGCCACATGCCTGCAGTGGCTCAGGCCAGAAGCCAGGGGACATTAGAACACAGCTCTCTGGCACAGCCAGCATGGACTGTGTATTCACTTCCTCTTCCAGCTGCCCCTAATGTCTTTGGGCTTTGCAGTCCAGAATCACAGCAGCAAGACTCTGCAGGGTTACTCATCACTTCCTCCTCCTGCTTCCAGGTGCCTCTGGGATTTTCAGTCCATAGTCAGAGCCAGCAGTAAGTTTGAGCGGGAGAAGGGGTGTTTAACTCCCCTCCCTGGCCCCAGATCCCAGCTGGGGTTTGCTGGGGAGTGGGGAAGGCAGCGTCTCCCCCTGCAGACTGGACTGCATCCCCAGCCAGGCTTTCCCTCCTCCTCCCTTGTCAGCCAGCCCTCACTGCTCCAGCAGGAGAGCACAGGGGCAGGGCCAGCCCTGCTCTCTGAAGCAGACAGCACATCGGAGCCCAGGGCTGCAAAGCATGCTGGGATGCTGGGAGATTGTGATTTAACTTGAACCAGAAAGGGGTCCAGGACAGAATTTTCATAAATTGGTTTGACCCAAATCAGTTATGTCTGATACTACATTCAACCAGGTTTATCAGCTGTTTTGAAACTGGTTTATGTGTACTGAGCTTCTGTTCTGTTACAAGTTTAAACCAGTTTCTGATTACTTAAACCGGTTTATGTGTAACTTCTCTCCCTGGCCCCTGTGGATACTGAACACCTGCTGCAGGTAAGAGTCAAAGAGCTCGAGGCCTCCCTTTCTCTTTGTTACTTTGAGTTTTCCAGGGATAACTGAACAGGTTTCTATGGCATGGTAGGTCTTTTGCCTAGTTCTCTTTTCAGAGCCAGCTGTAAGCCATTCTTGTATTCTTCTGGTATTCTTCTCATTCTTTTCTTTAGAAAAAGAAGTCTCTCGCTATTACTGAAAAAAGGGACCACTTCCCTTTTCTCAGCATGCACTCTCTGTTGCCCAGCTGATAATGTCCAATAGCCCTACAGACAAGTATCCTCTTTCTTTCTAGTTTTAAATCAGGAAGAGGACAGAGCTGGGTCTTAAACTTGTCCAAATGGCTCGGCTAAGCCTGTTGATTGGATAGCTAAATATAAGTCCCTGAGTTTCAGAAATGCTGAACATCTCACTGAAGTCATTAAGAACTGCAGGAATTCTGCCCACAGTTGTGGTCCCTTGTGTGCATTTGCCTGCCTTTAAAATTGTCTTGGAAATAAGTGGGTTAATTCACTCCTAACTTTCATCACCCAAATAATGTTGTCCTAAAGAGCAGGTCATCGCTAAGAGAAGAAAAAATAGATAGTGCACATAAATTAAATGCTGTCAAGTAGATTTCAGCGTAGTGTAATACTTGGATGAAAATGGGCAGAAAGGCTTCTGTTATTTATCACCTAAATTTTTTAAAGTAGATTATGCAATTTTTTTATACAAAAGTAACACCTAATTGTACTATTAATGTGAGTTTGCAATTACCGGAATTGTAGTGCAAATCAGGTAACTGAATGCACAGA